TGCAATGAGCAATGCATATTCATTTCAGTGGCCATATAAAGTTGCAGTATTCACACTTGATGTGCAAGCAGCACTGCATTGTTTAGCAGGATTATAGCAGGTTTTGGCAGTGAGTCTATTTTTCTTGCTTGATCTCAAACACTGCGAAGAGCACTAAGACCTTTTTGTTAACACAACCTTTTGCAATATAGGCTTTTGTAAAGCAACGTAAAATAATGGAGTGACCTACTCATCCATTGTTTGAAAAAGACATCTGTTAGACTTAATGTAGTCCCACTTTCGGTTGCACACAAACATGTTTGATTCAGTAACTTTAACTGATTTCAGTCAGTTTATAGCTACACATTAGGGCGTCTTTGGGTTCCTTAATACTGTAAAGCCTGACATTTGAAATAATATAGTCAGGAAAAAAAAATTTTTTTTTGGAATGGAACTGTATGTTGAACCTTTATGTATATATGCATATGCATTTTTTGTGTCATATTTGGTACATCAGGCTTTTATGTTTGCTATAGTGAGAATATGAAGCTCATACTCAAGGAGGAAAAAAAACACCTCAATTTTATTCAGAGGCCCAAACTGAGCAAAAATATGCAGTTTGGTGCAAATGTTGATATGTATATGGCCAAAAAGTAAGATCTTTTCTCAAGAATTCATGTCAGTTGTCACAGTATATTTTACAGTAATATGTCGTAGTAAGAAGATATTGACAGTAAAGTCCTAGTTTTATGATCAAAGCTCAAAGTGTTTATCGTAGGGGCAAATTATACAGTATAATGCAACACAATACAATGATGATTGAGATATAGACAAATAAATGTTCCTCAACACGTGATGTATTATATTTGATACTCATATTTCAACATGATTTTTCTTGAAAAAACTAAAAACAAAAACAAACAAAATTATTATTCCAGTACTATTCCTTATTCCATTAAGTGAAATATTATACTACAGTATAAAGAACTATATATAAATGATATACTAACTATATATAAACTAACAATATAGTAACAAGTTATTCTAATGTTTACATTAATAAATCAGTAAAGGCATTTTTAACATGTTTTGATCATGTCGATAATTTAGAGGCCTTATAAATGTGCATATCAAATAGATTTTATATGGTTAATCATGTAATTGTAAGTTAGACTTTATGACCAGATGTTGAGTTAAATATTCTGTCATTTACCAATTTTTTTTTAAATATTAACAGTTAGTTCCAAATGCCTTTATGAAAGAAAGAAAGAAAAATAGAAAGAAAAAGAAAAATAAATAAGAAAAATAAATTAAATCCAGAATGTGTTTTTAAAACTTTTTTTATATATATTTTTTCTGGCTTAAAAAATTATTTAAAAGTTTTTACATTGAAAATGGATTAGAAGGAATACTTGTTTATGATCAGAATGGCTAAGATAGTCAAACAGAATATCCAACCATATACATACATAAACCATAGATGTTGGCCCTATGTGAGGTCCCATGGGAATGCAGCTGCTCATTGGCACTGACCAGCACCACTTAAATTTTGTTCAGAAAATGCACCAACATATGTTGTCGGTTTTGCTGTAGTGCTAAACTACAGTTTCATGGTCAGTAAGAAATATTTAAGGCTGTAAAATTCTCTCCGTTCATCCGTCATTGGCAGAAAGTTAATTCTGGACCTTGCTTATGCTCCTCAGACCGCCACATCAAAGCAGAGAACACAAAAGACAGCGTTAGCAAGTTCTTATGCTTCTCTAGCCCTTCTTGTTGTGTATTGTCACAATTGTTGAGCACTCTGTGGAAATGTTAAAGTGGGAACTATCATTTTCACCCATCAGGCTCCAGAGACTTGCTTGTGCTCTTTTGGGAATAGAGAATCTGACAGTGGCGGCGATGCGGTCTGATGTTGTATTTAAATGACTGTGTTGACGCACATCAGCGTATGGTTTTAAAGCTGTTTCAGTGGCTCATACGGCTGCCGCAGGCACATCGTAGAGATTGTGAGTATGAATACAGGTGACAGATCAAATGGAGACACTTGTTTTTTTAAGTTTATCTCTACATCAACCTCCGCGTGTAGGCAGCAACCGTCGAGACAGCCAGCCTCATGATGGGACACACACACACACACACACATGCATAAATGAATGCTGTAATCCCTTGTGTATATTTGTACAAAGTCAAGTAATATCTGTCCTTGCGCATCAAAAACCTACAAAGCAAACTAGATTAAATCCATATTTCTGAGAATGGCTTTATAATGAGAATTGTTTTCCAGTATACAGACCAACTGAGAAAATATCAGCTAGATAGAGTTTTTTTTTTTTAATTAAAATTATTATTTATTTTTTTATTTTTTTTGTATTATTATTTATATAAAACTTTTTTGACCTGTTTGTGAAAGAATAAAACCGCAAAAAATAAATGCAAACAGTTCAACTATGCCTTCAACATTTATTTTTACTGCTTTTCAGATGCCTTTGTATCTGTTTTATTGTTTTACCCTTGACCTAAACTACGATCTTAAAGTATTCAATTATTTTTATTTATGGAATAACATTTTTTACATTTTATTTCTTGTTTTTAACATTTCAAAATTTGTAATATAAAAAAAACATTACATTTTAACTTTCTTTCTTTTAACAATGGTTATGTAAACAATGATGAAATAATCATAAACCATGTCAATAATAAATGTGTGAAAATGATTTTACACAAATTATGATGGTCCCTTAATTCTGACATAATTTCCACTACAACCAATAATTTTGCTCCCATATTTTTTTCCTTCTAAAGTCTGTGTACTTGAAGACAACAGTCATTTAATGAGCATGTTATAAATTATGCAAATAAACCACAATAAATAGTGGTTTTGATATACTGAGCTTCAAAGTTTTTGCATTCAATATACTTCATAGATAGAACCTTTTTGTTTTCTAAATAAAAAAAAATCTCAATGTACACAACTTTAAAAAAAATCACAATGTAAATAATTTGTCACAGAACAAGAATAACTCTTGTTTTGACAAAAATGTCAAATAGAACCTTATAATTCCTTATAATTGGTGGAATTTATAAAGTGCTAGTTATGAAACTAGGCTTTAAAAAATGTGGAAAATGACAGAATTCTGAAGGTATTATCCACTTTTAAGACATTGTAAATAGACAAATTAAATACAGTGTTTTATTAAAAAAGAAAAACTGCCAAAATGGGCTAAAACTGTCCTTGAACCATAGTTCTTATTGTATTTCTTGCTTTCTATCTTTTTATCTTATCTTTTTTGTTGTTATGTAACTTTAGCAATTGTTAATTCAGTGTGCACTCATCAGTTACTGTGCCTGAAACTTTGACTCAATATCCACATGCCAGCTTAACTGACAGACTTGTCTTACTTTGACTGAATCTGTACTGAAGTTTGAGCTGCCATGAGAAATGTATTGACTGTGCAGAAGAACGTCTGTGTGTTGGGCATCGGGCATCCACTGGTGTCAAGGATGATGTCTTAGATGAAGTGTTTGACCAATATGCCCGATCTTATTATGCAGAAAGCAAGGTGGATGTTACTATATCCATATATATATATATATATATATATACTGTATATATATATATATAAATATGATACACCGATACCACTTTTTCCAGTACTCGCCCAATACCGATACTTTTATTTTTGGTACTTGCCGATACCGCATTTGTAAATTTTTTAAATATTGGGTACAGAAACCAAAAGGGTATGTATAATGTTAGTTGGTTTACTTCATTTATCAAATAGATACAGTCAAACCAAAATTTATTCAGACACCTTCAACATTTCTCACATTATCACAGTTTATTCGCTATAGTTTAGAAAATGGTAATAAAATATGACAAGAACTCAGAGTTAAACTGTGTCAGAACAAATTCATCTTGATAATGTTAGATAATTTTGATAGAAAGGTATATAATAGATTACAATCAACCAAAAATGTGTCTGTAGTGTCCTGGGCATGCTGTCATGCAAACCTGAACTTGATTTTTTTTCCCAGACTCGGTCTGAATAATTTTTGGACCCAAATTTGTATCAATTTTACTGGTAGTCCACTGTATGAAGAATTTTTGGGTATGATTTGTCACAGTT